GTGCTATTACATATAACATATAAAACATTATCGGTATGTCTTTATGATAAGTTAAACTGTTGTAATATAACTTGCGATAGTGCGTCTTGTGTCTTTTCCCGATCTACTATATTTCCCGCTATACGTTTCGATCGCTTTAATAGGATATAATGCAACGATCTTTTTACGATGATCATATCCATCGTCGGAAATTATACAAAAGAAGAAGGAAGTAAAGCATTCTTCTTCCGCAATTGCTTGGAATGACTAATAAGAAAAATCAGAGAATATCATTAAAAATCATATTATTCCTGCATTAATTGTGTAAGGCCGACCACGTGCACTATGGAGATCAATCAACTCTTCCTTAATAGAAAACGAGCTCACAGAGCATCACAATGACGTAACAAACTGGGGAATAGTTTCATGTTCGACATACGACAGACTAAAGAGTCTGAATTGCTATAGTAACGGTTGTCACATACAGACACGCTCCTATTTAAAATCATGATTCTCAACAGAATATAATCGGTAAGTGTTACTTTAATTATATGATACATTGGCAATCTCACACATTGGTTGACAACAGGTTATTTGCTTTTACCATCAGTGTTTTCGGGCCACACGCAAGAAACCTGTGGTACGTACATAATGGATCAGATAGTAATGGCAACTGCCCTAATTAATAAGTATACTGTCGTAAGGATGATGTTAACAGAGTGAAAGAACTATTATACAAACTCAATCTCAGCATAACTTTGCATAAGCAGGAAAGTAGCCTTGACAGCATGATATGTCATCTCGTGACATAACGCCTCGCGCTGACAACTAAAAGGGTTTATACCTTGTCAGTCGGACTATGTGAAGATATGTGACTGAGAATTGGGCATATTAAGTGTGTTTTTTATCGTAAGTTCTGGTTAGATAATTGATTTTTTGATTTAGATGACCACGTTTGAATCCAAGCTTGCTTATTGTCAAGTTAATTACCACGGGAGCGCGATTGGTAATTGACCTTGAGAATTAGCTTATTCAAACGTAAACGACTACTCGGTTGTTTATGAGTCTTCCTTGTTTTAAATATATCTTTGGGTGTTTTTTGCATTATCGGTCATCTGAACTCGGTTGTTTCATATCTAATAATTCGAGAATTTATTTACAGTCAGTACCATTTCTCACACATTGCACTTACAAAATCGGATGATAAATATTTCAGTATATTATTTATTGAGACATGATAGATGATTCATTTGTTAATTAGCTATTACCCACTACTCTCTCTAATTATCCTTTCCCAATAGTTCGATGCGTTGCTGTATGAATATATACTATGTTTTATGGTGATTTTCCCGTATCGTATCATTAAGGGTGAATGCACGAACTTTATGCATTCTTAGTGAATATCGACTAGTTTGTCAGCTCCAAAGCCTATTGGAGTCTAAATGACATACATAAAAATAAATTGATCACCAGCTTCTATGATGTAACAATATCCCAATCTTGGCCGTCCAGTATAACAATCTTTTGGTATCATCAGCTTTACCCCTGGCCAGAGTCCCATATGTATTACCAGTCACCATGAAAAAATTTCACCATTCTATTTAAATGTCTCTCGGTACACGTCATCCTTATTCCCCAAGAAAGAAAGGAACTTCTTCCGGTTCTTGATCGTCGATGTCAAACTGACCCATCGCATCAACTTGATCGTCAACGTTAGCGTCGTCAATATCTGGCTCAACCAGATGGTCATCGTCGGCGACTTCCGGTAGAGTCTCTTCGATGATATCCTTTACAGGAAGAGACGTTGTTGGGGTAGGATGCTGATATGCAGCCTCAGTAAAAGTGATCTGCGCATCAGATTGTGTCGAGCTGGGAGAAGAACTAGTTCTTGCAGTAATCGCCCCTTTCGTTGTGGCGTTTAGAGCTAGAATACTAGCAGCAGCCTTTCGTTCTTCGCTTACGCATAGTAGATCTTTTGGATCATACGTAAAATCATCCTTAGGTGGACATTCGGACACCTCCCTCTGCAAATTTCGTCCTCGATGAATAAGTTCATCATGGCCCACCACATTTCCCCACAGATCTAACACTGGCAGTTCAGCATATTCTGGCAAATGACCATTAGGTAATTCCTCTAAAATAGAGTTGTTATCCATAAGTGGCACTGTAAACACTAGAGAAGGTGGTGTCTTTTTCCGCTCCGGATGCATATGTTCGCCAGACTCGGCATGATTTGTTGACAGACTGGTGAAATTCTTGAAGTTTGGGTATAGCATAACATATCCACGGAGATATACTAATTCAATAAAGAATCGCTTCCACGAGTTTCTCCATCTGACGGATCGACTACCAGGTACAGTGATGTTCTGCAGATTATAACCATTGACATCATCCACCCTATGCTTCAAATATTGATGAAACTCGCGCCATACTTCAGGGAAATAAGCTGCACCCCAACTACAAGGCACTTGAGAAAGATATGGCGATCGCCTAGGATAACTAGTATGCTGAAGCACAGCTTCGGGGTCAAATGGACGACGTCCGTTCCAATGAAGTTCGCTTGCCTTTGGACCATATAAACTAATGCCATACAGACGACGGGACGAACTCCTGCCAGGCCCATATCTGTACTTAAGAAGTGTATATTTAGTCCACATATAAAAGAACGGTGACACTTCGACATCATCTTCTAGTGGAATTCCGTACTCGTGGTTATCGGATGGATAATAAGATTCGATTACAGCAGCTAACAAACCGCCCTGTACAACACGATTTCTAACGGAGAATGGGCCGTGTTGCCATCTGAACTTGCGGCAAAATTCCATCGTTTCTTGGTCTGCCTTGCGATCCATGTTTATAGTTAAAGATACCTCGTCTCCGAAATAAAAAGCTGATTTTAAGGATCGCATTAAACGGGAGAATGAATCGATTCTGTTCTGTGTTATAACTTGCAATTGTATTCGAGGTCTCTTCCAATCTGGTTGTAGAAAACGGTATAGTGAATTAATATAATTAATACGGCCACTAATAATTCTTAATGCTCTCTTTCTATGTATTTTCACTGTTGTACTTACATTGTAATATACCCAACGACAAGTCGCCAATCCACAAAGAATGCTTCACATCGGGTAATGGGATCGCAATTGCTGTAATCCGATCAAATCCACTTAAAGCAGCACTTACACCTCTCATAACGTAATTATCCTCATCTTTCGTAATAAATACGACGGCGGGATTTGCTTTCTTCATTAGTTTCCCAACAGCCTGTGATGTCTGCATCATTACATCAATTTTGTTCTCCTCAGACCACGAATATGATTTCCCATCGTCAATATGCATATCGTACAAATTAACCGAACAACCATTCGTCTTTTTACGCATAATCGAGCCAATCTCTTCCTTGCTGGCGTCTCTTTTGACTCCACTGATCAATACATGTACGGAGATATCCGCCCAAGAAGCTATTCGACAAAGCAAAGGTTGCCATGCGATTGCCTGGGTTTTACTATCAATTACAAACATTACATTACCAGATAGAGCCTCGGCGTATTCACCTAGTTCGGGATCGTGTGGGACTGGTGGCGATTCAGTTGGAGTTCCGCCAAAAATGAATAAGCTAGCAAATATGAAAAATAAGACGCAGATGATGACGATCGCATGCAATAGCTTGGGTACTGCGGTAATTCTCATTGTAAGCCAGGTAAGTTGTGCGCGCTTTCGTAGCGCTGAGTATGGTGGCGAAGATCGTCGGTATGTAGTATATGACATTAGGTCCCTGTCGTCTACCCTCATTATTAGAGAAGTAATATTTGTGTAGATCTCTTCACTTCAGCGCATTAATCAGAATGCTCGGTGGAGAGCGGGGTTTTTGGAAGTCGACTGTAATGTTGTATTATTTGAGCTTGTTGGCACCAAGACATTATATAAACACTCAGCTTGCGCGCTTTGATGTACAAAATATTCTATTTAATTTCCAATAAAGTTATTGTTATGTGATACTAATTATAGCACATTCGGTACTAAAAGTGACTCAGAATCTGCAGCATCAGAATGTAATTGGCCTCAGTAATTAAATTTAATTGTGTAACTGTCTCATGAAGGAAGGTTTGTCAGACATGTTTGTCACACTCGTTTGAGAAATGGAGAAATGGATAAACAAGTCTTACCTATTAAATTCGAATGGATAATCAAATCCTTTGTAATGTAAACAATCTTACCTTCAAAATTGAATTCCTCAATGTCTCTTCTATTTTGAGGTGGGATATTTCACGGGAGGCAGCACAGCCGAACAGTTCTGCTATTTTAGACCGTCCATCCTGCATCACTTATCGTTGCCACGACATAATGTACGGGTTTGTTCTATTATTTCATAATTACCCGTAATCATGAGATAAACCTGTTGACGTATCGTGTAATGAGTAGGGATAATACAAACAAAACAAAGTCATATAGCAAGGCAAGTTGTTAAACTTGTTTATGCCGGGAAATTCTATGGAAAAAGACATCATAGCTGATATTATCAGTTTACCGTGTTCATAATAAAACTGGGAATGTTATGTCAATTTTCAAAGTAATACAACGTGAGAAACACTAACCATGATTGAGTACTTGATATCAATCATTAGTTCGTTGGAGTTTTGCATTCCTTTATTAGTTACACCTACGATTGAACGCTAAAGGTGTGATTGAAGCGCTCCTTTTGGAAGTTGAAAATGCGCGTTTGGACTTGAATAATGGAGTTTTTTTACCGCTTTATCATATCCATAAAGCAAAAGTATAATATCAAGAGGAGTTTCTACCGAAGAATGCAAGAGACAGAATTTGTAGGCAAATGCCGCAAAGTTAAAATTCTCGCCAAATTCCAATCAATTGACTGCAATTGTAATTAAATATCACTAGACATTCTCAGTAGGCCAACCAACACAGTACATTGGAAGAAGATAATCTAATCGATTTGTTAGCATAAGTCATGAACATCATTTGGGGATGCCAGAACAATTACATTATTATTAAAAGAACATCACCAAAAATAACGTAAATTTGATAGTAACAAATACAAAGCTTTGATTGCGGCTTCTGCTTTACATTTGTTAAATCTATTCATTTTAAAGTATCAAGTCCTGCTATATTTGGGAAGACATTCTTTTCTGTGGACGGTAAATTCGTAGTTGTCAAAGAAGGAATGTTAAATACACAAAGGTCTAACGCTAGTCACATTTTGCATCCTGCTCTTTTATTGGTATTTTTCCAACTCAAAAATGTGGCATTAATGTTAATACTCTCTATTTCATGGCGATGATAACTTTACTTTCTAAATGTTTCTGCTAATTAAAAACATACGTTAGTCTTTCTATCTTCAGCAAATTATGGATACTAGTTTTATTGATAAGAAGATGTGAATAGTGTTTCAACAATACAATGGCCATCCAATTAAACCCAATAGAAAATTTATGGAGCATTACTCAAAGAAACATGGAAAGGCATATGCCAAAAAATTACTGAATTGGAACAATTCATGACAGAAGAATAGAATAATAATCCAAATTATGTTCTAATTAATCTAGTTCAGCCAATAAAATGGCAGTATAAGCTTAAAAACCAGTAAACGTATTACTAAAAGTTGCGAGCTTAAGTTTTGTTCAAGTAAGTTATAATGTGTGGCGTTTCATACGGTTGTTAGAATGCAATGATTATTTAAAAAATTCCTTGTTTTTATAACACACTGTATCTCATTCTCTTTGTCTCAATTGTACGTTATTATTATCTATTCACTTGGTGGTGACATTCGAATATTTGATTTTTTGAACACGAAAAGAAACGAAAATACTATTTTTGTTTCTTCTCCTTATTACTATTGCGTCTAGAAAAAATTGATATGGAAATGCGCTATCGTTTAAAATAGCCACTGTGCTTATGTTACTATTTATTTACACGTCACTCCAATGTGTCAACGGAAAGTATTTGGTGCTAAAACACCAGACCTTGTTGTTATGCACTAACATCCATTGCAGTATTAATTGTATACATTCTGTAATTACTGCAAGCCCTACATTGGTACCAAGTAATACGTTGTACATTACAACAATGATAAATAAGCTTGTTTGTCATATATTAATCTTGTAAATTATTTTGTCGCTGATCGGATTGGTCAAACTTATGAATGATCCAGTAATTTTTGTGTGACGATCTTGCGTATTCTCTGTTCACATCTCAACCCATAAGATGCCTCTTCAACGGGTCTCTTTTTTGCCACATTCATGGTTATTTATAGCGAGGAGAGTGATCGGGAAGAGGCTCTTTCACACAAGCTGTAGCTGCCATACTACAAGCGATGGACGTGGTAAATTCACCACTGAACATTAGATATGGAATAGATCGTTTATATGCTTACATTATTAACGAATTATAGACGTAGACAAGACATTGCCAAGATTCTGGAAGGAAGTTTCGGTAATAGAGAACGATGGTATGCGCATTTGAATACGTCGTTGTGATATTCATGGCCAAATGCAGATTGTATCAATTGCTAGTGCAAGTTAATGTTAACAACACGCTCAGATGGGTGCGCGATAACTCTAGACAATCGTATCATAAAAACACCAAAAGGTCTACCGCTAGTAATACCAAAACATAAAAGACAGCTGGCAGACTTGATTGCGAAAGAATGGGACGCCGAGTCTGTAATCATCAAACCCGAATATATACCTCTGGTGAGCATAGTTGATTTCTTGAAGGAGAATGGGGCTAGGAAATGAGTAACAGAGAGATGAGTGATTTGCTTTTACTGGTGTTACGAACAGAAATGAAAGATCTTGTAGAAAGATTAGATAGTATTATATAAATTATTTAAACATTACAAGCACAGGTCAAAATGAACATATATCCACCAGTGGATAGATGTTGGATCGTGACCAGAGTATGCCATCGATTTTATTTGTAAATATTTGCACGTAATGGACGGGATATGTAGCATAGACGGTGGATGGTGATATCAGACTTGGGTTTATATATTATCTCTACACATCCATATTATCTATCTATGCACTAGTAGATACCTGTCATTTTGACCTGTGCCAATGCGCGTGGGCGCCAATGGTAAACGTCGCATAAACATTCTCAAGACGTTTCTTGTCACAAGAGCCATAGATACATTGGAGAAGGATTCGGAGGAGAGACAAGAAGTCATTTCACGGTTACTTTATTACTTTGATCGTGACAAAATATGGTAAATACCAGAGACACAACTTTTTATAGTCAATATTCTTGCAGTACCAGACTAATTATTTATACGCTTGTGGAACGCTCTATAGTCAGCCATATTTGTTCCCAAAAACTTTCGTTGACCTTCAACAACAACACTGGGACCCAATTGTGGAGTGGGCTAAAGAACGTTACGACGTAAAAATAGAATTGAGCGAGACAGATTTTCGTTATTTGCAATTGACGGAAGCGAAGGATAAATTTCGAGCAATAGTGAATGCATTTGATGGCCTTAAGCTGTCTGGTAATATAAATATCGTATACATCATATTTGATATTATACGTGCCGGCGTATCATCTCATCTATGTTTTTATTTTAATCTAAAGCATTTGAACGGGCAACAATCCTATCAAATTCATTCCTGATTGCGCTCGGTCTAGTGGAAAAGCGTCTGGGAGTCGAAGAGGCTGTCTCGGCTGCCTCGACTGAAACCAATGCTTGGATCATGACTTGGGGAAACGTTGAATTGGGTATGTGATTCGTCGAGTTGGTGACCTCAATGTGAGTTGAAGCTTAATTCTTTTTTTTTTTTTGCTCTCAAGCGCTCGATTCAGATCAAGACCAGTTGCGGCAACAATTGCAGTCCGTTGCGTATTTGTTGGTCGATGGATAGATATAGCGCAAAGAGAATTATCTTTGGAATTGTATAAGAGAATGTAATATTCCGTGTGCTTGTGGCGGGACAGAAGAATAAACCTGTTATAATACCTGATTCGATACAATTACCCAGCCCATTGTCTTGGCCAAGGCGTTGTTGCTGACCAATAAACTTATATAATCAGTAATAGGTAAAGTTTTTTATAGTAATAAGCGCTAAAATGAAACGTCAAACAGGAAATAAAAAAAATGTTTCAATAATAAGTCCAAATGATGTTTGTTTCTTTTTGGGCAGGTCTCGTGACGACCCAGGCATTTGCGTCTTTTTTTTCCGTCTTTGCGCAATAATCTCAGAAGCTAATCCATAAATAATTATAATATATCTCCATTGTAAAGTCAAACGTTACACATCGTAGTCTTATTTGGCTATTTTTAGCATCTCACCAGACTTTAAATGGGAAATACTGGACCCTTTGCCATGGCACTTTTATCTTCTAATCTCATCGTCTCGCGAGACAATAAACCGTGGTAAAAAAAACCAATGATGTTGCGTCCAGTGTTAGATTTCGACCTAAAATTTGTTAATTTCTAAAAACATGGCAGTTGTTGGGATTCACAAGTGTACGAACAGACAACTACATTTGACTAAATGAAAACTTAAAATACTGGTTTAAAAATAACTTGCCACCCCCTAGAGATTGTAACAATTGTAACGCGAGTTTGAATAATTGCGGTGTTGTATCTATCAACCAGTAAGACCAGTAGAAGTGAAAATACTTGAGAATTGCGACATTCATTGTAACAATGATAGCAATCCGGGTTCCAGTTCTTAAACGCCATTCCGAGATAAAATCAGGTGATATATTACGGCTTATCTTTTATGTACACAAAAACATTCTTAGAGGCTAGCACAAGAAAATAAGGGATATGTTTGTCGCAATATAGTTTTCTTTTTATAAATTGTTGGAAATTACCTTTCTTTAGATCAAGTATTAGGCTTAGCGGTTAACACAGACGTAGGACTAGCGGAGATGGTTTGACTCATTCGCAGACTTTTGGCTTAATTGACGAATTATCGCCGAATGGGCTTCCTGTCCTAACAGTTGTAATTAATAATCATAACGGCAAGTTTGCGCCATCATTCTCCAATAACACGCGATCCATATTGGTGTGACCATCACATCACAACTATCTTAATAAACGTTTCACAGAAATCAAAATGACGTTTATGAAGATCACAGCCACAAGAACCAACATATAAAGAAACTTTTATAACCAATATGCATGAATAACCTACGTTCTCCAACATAGCTCTGAATTTGGATATTCTGGTTGCGTAATGGATTTCACCACCTCGCATAGGCCAGAGGAACCGTCAGCTGCCCATCTCAACGGAGCATCGACTACAGAGAGACGCTCGAGCGTGAGAACGTTAAATGAGAATGTTGAACTACGATCAGACATTTGCGATCAGCTACAACAGGTAATTGTTGGCTTTGTAAATGTATAAAAGCTCCCGCTCGGCGGTTTTCAGTAATTGTTGTAGTTAGTTATTCCTTGTAAAGGGCGGTTTAGGCAGAGACGTGTTTTCTATCCCCCGCAAAATTGTTATATAGGCGATCACACGATGAGTCATTGAGTTTTTCAACATCCTTCTGAAGTTTTGCGGGTAATCTGTTTCGAACAATTACATTCTCTCGGGTTAACTTATCTCTTACCCAATTATTGTGTTCAAACAGAATTTGGGACAACTGCCGGAAACTGATCAGCTCATTGTAAGGCAAACGTGGGCTGCTTTCGCCGCCGCATCACCAAGACTCCGTTGTTTTATGCTAGGAGGCTTACTGGCTCATTGCGACCTTTCACAACTATCCTTTCTCGCTCAGAGCCTAAGTTACCTAATTCGCATCGATTTTTTAACGGCTCTCCCACGTGAATTGGCATTCAAGATTCTGTCATATCTAGACGCTCAGTCGTTATGTTATACCGCTCAAGTATCGAAATTATGGAGATGCTTGTCGGATGACGATATCATCTGGCAACGGATGTGCGAACAACATACTGATAAGAGATGTGCTATATGTGGATGGGGGTTACCACCGTTGGGGGGACGACCGACTCCATGGAAATTTATATTCGCTAGTCGGTTAATAGTGGAACGTAATTGGCGTAAAGGGCGATTCAGAGTCAGAGTATTATCAGGACACACAGATGGAATAATGTGCCTACAGATGGATAACGAGTTTTTGATCACTGGTTCGTACGATCAAACAGTACGAGTATGGAATGTCCAAACAGGTCGGCTTCTCCGAATACTAACCGGCCATTCCAAAGGTGTTCGAACGTTACAATTTGATAAAAAAATTCTAATAACCGGATCTATGGATAATACATTACGAGTATGGGATTATCATACTGGGCAATGTATAAGAAGGCTTAGTGGCCATACGAGCTCTGTGGTTAGCCTTCATTTTGATGATAATAGACGACTTGCCAGCGGATCCGCTGATCATACAATCCGAGTATGGGACTTTAATGCAGGAACATGTTTCACACTCACTGGGCATTGTGATTGGGTTAATAGTGTGAAAATTTACAAAAATCAATTGTTCTCGGGTTCAGACGATACAACTATTCGGATTTGGGATTTGGAAACAAGAACTTGTGTGCGCACGTTGGTTGGACATGTTCAGTCAGTTCAATGTATTCAATTAGCACCGGCATTAGCATTCTCCAACAAGTTTTCCAGATCGCCCGTTCAACACATGCTGTCCGTAGGGAATCAATCAAACGATGGTCCGGAAGCAGACGCTTCTCCAGTACTTGTCTCTGGATCGCTTGATAACTCAATTAAGGTTTGGGATATCCAAACCGGCGCGTGTTTGCGAACTCAATCTGAACATATGGAAGGTGTGTGGTCTCTGGCTGTTGATAAATTAAGAATAGTTAGCGGAGCACATGATAAAACGGTCAAGATCTGGGACAAGGATACGGGAGAGTGTTTGCATACACTCACTGGACACGAAGGCCCAGTGACATGTGTCGCATTGGGAGATACGAAGATCGTTACCGGAAGCGATGATGGCAAAATCAGACTATGGGATTGTTGTAGGAATTGAGGAATATAAAAGAATGTACATTATGTAACAAAAAGGTTGGAATATTTGTTATCTGGTTATAACTTTTCCCCAAAATAATATAATTCGCGTCTTTTACAAATAACAGTATTTTGATTATTTCATAAATTGGTTTCTTTTTCATATTATTGAAAAAAGATTTTGGCTAAAGCCTTATTATTCAGAATTATGGACAGGCTATTTAATCGTCTTGATTACTGAAATGTGTTGAGAGAAGGATGTCAAAAACAGTGAAGAGTGAAAGCAATTTATGAAAGTATTATCCACAAGTAAATCTTAATATGAATTGAGCGAAACGATTATTTGTCCAATAAATCTATGAATTAATCTTGTAAACATAACAATTGACATAGTAGTTACTATTATTAATGTGTACCAATTATTTAAACAAAGGCGCAAATGTTAGTAAAATGTTTATGAGATACGCACTTTAAGAGCTTATTCAGTGTGAAACTATGCGGTCATATGGTAACGATGAGCATGTTCGAGTTACTTCGACGTTGTACGCACTTGCCATTATGCCGGAATGCTAATTTATAAAGTGTCAATGGCGGAATGATTCTGCCATTTTTCGGGTTATTCTACTACGGGTTAAATTATCACTTTCATGCGAGGTAATGAGACATGAACACAACGTTTATGTTCAACCTGCTTTACATAATTGACAATGGATTGATTACATTATAACAATAAGTAATCAAAGTACAATTATATTATCAAATACTTCACGTTGACAATTTGTGTTGATTTCTGAACGTGACTATTCAAGTCTGCAATAAACGAACATTCTATTCGTATCAGAATGATGGTATTTCAATGCATTGTTTAAAAATTAACATGTCGTTAAGTATACAATGAAACCATTAGAGCGAAATATAACGTGTTGAAGAACGGCAATAAACGGAAGCAATTTATAGATTTGTTCCGGGAAATATTTACAGTCATTTTAGAACTGAAAAGAGAAACGACCTTGATACGTAAGGTATACTGATTAATCTATAATATATTAATAGGACAATATTATAGGACAATACTAATACGTACGTAAATCCATCCGTTTTGCAAGTGAAAAAAAAAAACAATCAAAAACGACAAACTTCCTTCCTTTACAAGAATGCTTCTTCTTCTTTTCTAATAAGGCTTTAAAAATACTGCAACATAATTCAAACACATTGTATTCGATATCCGGTTCATTGACTTGTGACATCAGCTTTTAAACTATGCCCTTATTGAATTAGATCCGCAAATACCCACTAAACCGTAAAATAGGATTTTATTAGTAAATCTGATCTTCTTTTTTTTTTTTTTTTTACCGTACCAAAAAACGGTTTATTATAGTTTTTATTGATTAACAAAAGCTCCCATTATTGATATATCGTAGCAATGTCAATGACAACATGACGCTGTCGCGCCTTAACCACGGGGAGAGATTTTGAAATTATTTCGGATTAACCACTGCCGAGTTACAGGTTTAAAATTCATCATGGACATTCATTCTACTTTTACAAACCAACTTGCATAGCAGCTTGAATGTTTTTAGAGAATGTCTCTAGCCCCCCTGAAAATGCGATGTTTCTGCAGACCCCTGTTAATAATAATATGCATGTTATAAATCACGTGACCGTAAATTGCCACCAGGCGGGAACGAAGGGTAAACTTGCGTTGTTTCTCCATTATCGAAACTGACCCTACAAGATCACACAATGACACAGCGAGCAATGGCATATGGTATACAGTCAGGAGCTTCTGGTGCAACAGGTTTGAATTTCTCGTTCTGATACTTGACGGTGCTGTGGAGATGAGGGTGTTATGAGACTATCTTGTTATTAACATAAGAATTTTGGTCGCATAATTCTCGTTTAAGGTAATGGATTGGCAACGCGTCCAGTTCCACCTACTCCCTCGCAACAGCAGCAACAACAGCAACAGCAACAACCATCTTCGCAACAAATACAACCACAAAGTCATGGTCTACCCTCGTCACCTTACCTCCATCCACAACGACAGCAATTGCACCAAGCCCAACAACAACAACAGCAACAACAACAGCAACAAATACCCCTTCAACATCCACCCCACTTACCGTTTCAGGTACACCAATCTACTATAACCCAACGAACACAACAAACTCAACCACATCCATCACAACCACCATCTTCTCAACCTCTCCGTTCAATATCTTCGTCAAATGACAATTCGATGAACAGTAAACCAATGATGCCATTAGGATATTCTACATCGGGTGTCGGAATGGGAGGAGGGGTGGGGATGGGAATGGGAGGGATGAGAGGATCAGCGGGCACGATAGGAACACCGACTTCATCCATGTCGATGAGAATGAGTGATTATGATTACGAAGGGAGCGATCAGTTATTATCCAAGTTGAAGATACAGCAATTGTTGGGCCAAATCGATCCTAAAGAGAGACTAGAGCCTGAAGTTGAAAATGTATGGAATTGTACATAAGTGTTAATATTTGTAGTTGCAATCTTTGCTCTAGGGAGGTGAGGGTTTAGTGGAATAAGAAGTAATGACCACTTTCGTCTCCCGATGCTTATACGTGTGGTTTTATTATAGCTATGTTTTTTTTCTCATTCCGGCTGTCATTTAGTCGTAATGTTTGATTATAATTGAATCTAATGGGCCATGTTTGATTATCTGATTTCTTCTCATTTAAACGGGATTTAGATATTATTAGAGATAGCCGATGAGTTTATAGAATCAGTGGGTTCTTTTGCATGTCTTTTGGCCAAGCATCGGAAGTCTGATACACTGGAAGTGAAAGATCTCCAAATTCATCTCGGTATGCACCATTTCGCGACGTCAATTAATACCATGTTTATTCTATATACAGTCATCTGGATACGTCTTCTTTAACTCTATTTCTTTAACATCTGTCCTATTGAATACCTAACACACTCTAAGAACGTAATTGGAATATCCGGATCCCAGGCTTTGCATCAGACGAAATCCGATCGGCTCGCAAACCAACGACCGCCACTGCCCACCAGAATAAAATTGCAGCAATAAACTCACACAAGGCTACGAAAGCGCAGGCAACACAATTAACCGGACAATCTGGAAATCCGACAAACGCACAAGGACCCAATAACGTAACAACTAATGTAACAGCTAATCAAGGACCGAATCAGTCAGGTGATACAAGCAACGGTGCAAATCCGAACGTTGTAAGTAGTGGGAATGGGGGCGTGTCAGCAGGTCGAAGTGGTGCCGGGGTTGAATAAATTGGTGTATCTATTGTATATTGGCACACTTGTGAGATGGGGTGTTATCATCGTGATGACTTGGTTTGAGGGGAGTGGTGTCGGAATTATGGCGTCCTCCCCCTTTTCTGCTCATTGATTTATGATGGACCCGCAGCGGACACAACAGACTGATTGCAATATAAGTCTGCAGTTGTATTTATTCTTGACTTGCTCTCATTGATTCTAATGTTAAATTAACATCTAATTGCTAGCATTAAGTTCAGTCTTATTTGAACTGCTATAAATACTTCTTTGCAACAAACCTCACTCTTGTATCAAAAGCAGAAGATGTTATAGGAGAATTGACTTCATAGAATGGGTTTAATAGCATCTAATAAAAGTATAAATCATCACAAGAGGTAAGTGAGCAAAACGTTAATTCTTTGATCGTAATTAATATCACCTAGAATACAATAAAAAGTTCTACTTAAACAATTATTAGATCACATATAACTCACCTTTATGTACAATTCATGACATTCGTTGAAGAATGTTTTGATGCCTTCTTCATTTTTGGTCTCATGAAGTAGCATGAGTTTTATATCTTAATATAATGTAAGCGGATAATCACTTTTTACTTTCTACAATGACAATCACACATAACATATGCTTATCACAAGGATACTTCCTGCCGTAACATAAGCGGATATTAACCATTCATTGAACTTATCAATCGATTTCAAATACCTTAAATAAAGAAAATGCAAGTGCATCTTAATCAAGGAGAATGATTCGGGAAGAGCTTATCTTGAACGTAATATATTACATGGCATTAGACTTCCATTGAAGCTCCTCAACGATATCCAGAGCAGAATGTACTATAAATTGATTCAAGTGCTTATGTTCATCTCTCTAAAGAAAAGAGGAGGTATTAGCGAATTGTTTCAGTAGAATCATCATATTATCTATTTTCAGCAGCAATTCCACACAATCGCTAGCCACTTTGTTGACCCCGTAAACTATTGGTATACTGCCAACAATATACAAGTCCACAATGACATTGGGGCGCCTTATCGTTATCGTTTTGCATTCACATATCAATTCACATTTATATACAAACTGACCCTAATTGCCTCAGAGCCACCACGCCCGGTTGATGTAAACTCTGCTTCATATATTGGGTTATCCTTTGTTCCAACTATTACAAAATAGTATGACATTCTCGACAATGCAGAATAGTGTCAGGAATGTATGTCCATTTATAGTATTTTTCCGAATGCGTCATAACGCCACAGAAATACAGAATTGTTAAACGCCGCAGTATTTAACCATCTTGTGCTATTGGTCTTTCAAGGCGCTAACCATGTGATGTCGAACAATAAGACATCGGCATCGGCTTTGGCTTTGTTGCTACGCATTCTGGGATTAGATGTTCGACACTTGCACTTCACTTTTTCACACTCAAAATATTTTCAAAAACGTATCTTCTAAGTCTTATTCATTATAGAATTAATCATTAGATAATTTCAGTTTCAATCGCGGCGAAACTGATTTAATACACTCCAACTTAAGTTGTAGTTTAACGCGTCAGAGTTTTTCCAGCCTCATTTATCCAAAGTTAATTGTCAATCGCTCTCACGTGCGCCGATTTGCGACGAGAGAATTGCTGGTCCAATGTTTTATGTCTAAACAAAGATTTTCCTGTGGCGTCCGGCTGTTGGAAGCCCTAAATATCTGTTGCTATGGCGTGTACATATACATGTGAAGATACCTGATTATCGGTATATTGGTGTTACTAAAAAGATTGCAAGTTGAACATGCAAGTCTCTCTTACTAACGAACAATACGCAAAGCCAAAGACTGTCTGCTTGTCCTTCACAGGTAACATCAAATATTCTCGTATTGTGATCATCAATTAGCTAAATATCATTTCACCCTACAATCCAAGGTGGCAAGGACAGCACTTTATCGCTACACATCCTCTCACGCACACCAGCCCTGTACAACATCTCAACTCTCGTAACATTCACACCAACGAATCCTACAGCACCATTTCTCTCTCATCCTCAATCGATCATAACGCTCCAATCCCTTTGTCTATCCTTTCCTCATGCCTTCTTGCCTACTTCCGCGCCATATCTATCCTCCTATCGGGAACATATGAAATCCCTCGATGTCGATTATTTTGCAACTGGTGACATTCTTGATGTATGTGACAACTTTCTTGGACGTGCAGCGGAATCTACACGGACTGAATTATTAAGGCCTCTTTGGCATCGTCCAAGAGAAGAAATCATGGAAGAAATATTCGAATTGGGATTTAGGGTAATGATTACCTGTATTGCATTAGAGAAAGTGAACGAAGACAGAGCGAAAGAGTTTGTCGGAAAGATGTTGGATAGGGAATTGTATGAGGAATTGAAAAGTTTAGATAATGTTGATGCATGTGGGGAGTTTGGAGAGTATCATACTATGGTTCTTGACGCACCATTGTTTCTAAAGAGGATCGTTGTGACAAGTGGGAGTGTTGCGAAAAGTGAAGACGGGAAGTTTCTCTATTTTAAGTTCGAGGACTATAGGGTGGAGAGCAAAGAATAACCATGATGTGTATGTGTTACTAACGTGGCAATGATTCGCGGGACTGATTTATGAAGAATTCCCGGACTATAACATTGAGCAATCGCAGATTGGAAGAGTAATGTAATAGGCGTTTGGAAATTAGTGATCAAGTTGACTGTATAAGTTGAGATCCTTTGACAGAAAGAAAATGTTCCAACATAATATGGGAATGTCATCAGAAATTTCCCGGGATGAAAAAGCTCCAATGCAAGATCGATAGTTGAATTTTATCACTCGAAACTAAAAAAGATTCCATCAATGATAGATACAAAAACAAGACATGGTAAAAAAGTTATTAGTCAAAGTAGGTGAAGCCCACCTTATCCGATTTACCTCAACTACTGATTTATCTGCATTGCAGACGTTGCCTGTTGCAACAGCTGGAAGAAAAGCCTATTAGATGAATCGAATTAAATCAAAAACGCTCAAGCAATGAAGCGAAAGCAAGTTTATGAATTACATCCAAGTGCATATCGTATACGTCAAACAACAGAAACAAAAATCATAGGCAAGCTAGTTGTGGCAAGAATGGCAAACGCACCCATGGAGTGTTAGATGTTGCCCGATTTTAATGCGCCAATTGTGATGTAAGCCAGTCGGCTGCACTCTTTACCCAACGTAAAAGTCGCATAAAGCCTATCTCTGTACCACACAACAGTGATTACATTCTGCTGAACAACTCTAACCAGTCTTACACACTATTTGAACGTAGTCGCTCGCTAATTCTTTGATGCGGAGATCATTATTTGCTTACACATATTGATTGACTGCTACTTTCTTTTCTATACAAGATATTGCCATGAATCTTTATTCGATTACATGATAGAAGGCATCTATACAACAGTCAGCCCATGAAAAAATATTCACGAGACTTTTGTAATAGTGATGATCAAAACTGTCAATGTCACATGCTTCGTAATCACATTAATTGCTCCAGACGTATTCCCGCTTTTGTCGTCTCTCCTTGACAACATTCTCTCGGATTGTCCTTTTTACTCGCTCGAACATAACCCACGCAGTAGGCTAGGCTAGAGCTTTGCATTCCGTGTTGAAATTAAATATCCATTTGATCTATCGTTTAGTCATTTGCCTTCGCATTCCTTTCGATGAAGAAGGCTTTTCCTGCTTCATAACTGGATATCATAATAGCGCATGCTGGAACGGCTTTGCTCACTCTCAGTCCCCATCCTACAAATATATGGTGATGAGTATGAAAAAATTCATCGTTCATTACATTTCAATTCGTCAGGACTCACCTCTCATCAATCCCATGTGACCTTCTTCTCTGACTACTTCTCTTATTATACTAATCATATCCTTACTTCGTCCTAAATTAGATCCAATATAATAAACATAGATCACATTAGCATATTTATAAAGTACGACTACAGAATTTCTACTTGTTGAATAGTCAATTACCAGAGTTATATGCAACTTGTCGTCTTGTCTTTGCTACATCAAACGGAGTAGTAAGCGTAGCCGCAATCTACATATAAATTAATGTCAGATAATGATATACTCGATGAACTTGAGCCAAATTAAATTGCCAATTACACCGATATATCTTACATACCATTCCTGATATAGCACCGCTGATGAATGAAATCTCAATATCGCCAAGATTATGTATCAACAATCTATTATCGTGCCTCTTCATGAGATTCTTCTTTATTGATTCGTACCCAGTCCAATATATAGCTGAGAATGGTACATCTCTCCATAGTGTAGGACCGAGCCCACGCCATAAAGACGACAAGCCATCTGATCGTACCATCTTATTGATACCATTTAATACGCCGACAATACCATTAGTTCCTTCTGCGCTCTGCATCCGAGTTCTTAGCAGTTCTATTGGGGATATTACGGTAGCTGCAGCGGTTCTTGCTATTGTTCCGGCTGCTAACGGAACATAAACTTCTAATGATTTGTTGTTGCACTTTTTCCATATTGTGTCTCTTAGATGATCATATCCAATAAAGTATATTACAGTTGCGGGAACGGACATTACACTGCAAACAGAGATGAGCATATGATCAGTATGATTTGAATCATTTACACACCTAACATCAGATCTGGATTATCACTCACAGTGCTGGTAATAGTCCTCTCCATAATGATGTGATGCCTTCATATTTTATAATTTTAACTAATCCGTCCTATCAAAAACAGTGATTGTCATTAGATCTTCCGGCCAGTTCAGCAGAAAAAGCGATAGGCATTTTGCAGTGATTATTACCAAAGTTCCGTTGAGTCGTAGACTAGCTGCTAGATGGGGGATATGAGCACAGCTTATGGTCTCACCAACTGCAGGAGTGAATAAGAATTTCCGACGTAAAAGCAATACTTCTTGACACTCGGCAGGAACACACGGACGACAATATTGGCCCTTTGTTATCGATAGTGATTGAAAAAGGTTCTGTGACTGTAAGCGTATCTTGACTACATCCAACGGAGTAGCTGAACACAATACGGATAGATATATGTTAAATAATTACAACAGCAGGGTAGACAGAATGTTCATTAGCATACTCACTAAATACTGATGTCACAATCGCTCCGGTACAAGCAGATAGCATCTTCTGTATTGGTAGTAGTTGTTGCGTGGATAAGACATTGTCAGACGACAGTGCAGTGCGAGTCATGTATGGCGAGACGACCTTCCCATATACATCGTTTAAAGGTGCCCATTCCGGAGGCATTGCATTAGAGGTCTTTGTATATGATAGCTCTTGCGTTGCAACCATTACTTTTATTTTTATGTCGACAGAATAAAATAAACTAAACGCTCTTGAGAAGTGTGTTGTTTATAGCCGCAAACGCCCAAAAAAAAAAACGCGTGAGGATTACCTCATAAGGTTTATCAGATTGTAGACACGTGGCGCCAATTTTCGAGAATCTGATAAGAGGTGATTACTAAGTGTTCATGTGCCTATAGTACGTAACGTGTGTCGCAATATAATACACAAAATAAGGAATGCATATGTGGCTCCTTTCGGAAATTGACTCGTCTTTTTCAAGATCCAAATCGGACATCAGATCTTATCCGGCAACGTCTATTACAATTCTGTTTTGGTTACACCATGATTAATAATAATTTATCTGTTCATTATTATTATTATTATGTTGTCCCAGGGTTCGAACGCCACAAACCATGTCTCGAATCCATTTTTAATTTCTGATGCAAATCAAAAATCTCAATGGAAACACGTGAATCTTAATGATTGGAGCGTGAACAAGTCGGTGATTAGACTTACACCCTGATGAGAATGGAGCAAGAATGCTGGTATCGACTATACGTAAAAGCAAAATTATATATATATTTTTGCGTATCACGATTATGTGCTATGCAATGTGTAATATACGGTTTTTGCAAGTTCGAGAAATTAGACAAATGAATTTTTTTTATCCTCAAAGTTTCTAAGCACCAAATTCCTGAACATGATATTTATTCACATGTAAATACATGTAAGTTGATCTACCACGCTGTTCAATACTCAATGCGTACCTTTCCATGATAAAATACTAAGGCAAATTAATTACATTTGGCAGTAGTTAGAAATTAGTTCCAAAACATATAAATTATCCTGGCTTGCCGACAGCACGCTTCATACCTCAACGTTCAACCAAAAAGAATTTTCCAACTCTTGTTCTCCAATAAACATGATCGTCCCTGTATCAATGTCGTTATTATAAAACACTGTATAGTTTGTTGCAAGCGATTCAATATTAAATAATAAATGCAAAGCTTCTTGAAGCAATTACAGTCGACCTCTCATACAGTCACCTCCTATACAGTCGCACCTCGCTTACAGGCTGTTCCAGTCCCAGTCATTCTCATAGCCATATTCAGCATAAAGTGACCAAAAGATTGCAAATGTATTGTTGCTTTAACATTAATTCTCCTCATTAACCAAAGCATGTAGAAGTTCATTTAAAACGAGACCTCAACTGAGCCTCGATAATAAACGTGAGATTTGGGAATATGTTAAACAACGTTCAAAAGCGAATTGGCAAACGTTTAATGAGAAATTCATACTTTCTATAGAGTGCCTACTGCTAACAATCAAAGCATCAATAAAAATTGACACTTGGAAATATTTCAATGATTAATGTCGCTTAACTTTAAAGAAAGAAGATTCAACATTAATGGCATTTCAAAAGCGAGAGTTGATTTTCTTTAGATAATAATATAATCTTAATTACATGACCATACGTAAACCTTCTATACAGTCACACTCCCATTTTTGCTTGGTCCCGACTGTGTGACTGTAGGGGAGGTCGATATAAATTTTCCTAGTAATAACAACTAACTGTTAAATAACAACAATAACGATATAGAGAATTAAAGTTCATCATGGTAGCGAATTTACCTATCGTATCAGTTGATACTGTAGTTACTATTTCTTAAATTTAAAAAATAGTGTTCTGATTAAATTATTATACGAATTAATCTCTCTTATTCAGATGCTGAGTAATAATATGATGTAAATTAAAGGATTTTTTTAGTAGATTGGTTTAATATGATTATGATAGTAATAGACAATTTTTCGCGAGTTATATATTTGCAATCACACAATATCTGTCCATATATGGCAATGATACACGGAAATTGGCGCAAGTACAAGTGACAATTTACGTCATATTCACTTTCGCTACAATTGCATTTCTTTACCATGATCCATACACGATTTATTATCACTCTTATTGTCGCTTTGTTTATGGTCTCTTCTTCCTTATCACAATTATTAGTGCCAGACTTCTCCATGCACGGTGACTTACCCGAACACGATGCAATACATTTCCAAACTGACGACTCAAACGAACCCATCACTGGTCCTAGGTTGGAAGATCTACTTCCCATGCATAAGGATTTGACTATATTTATGGACGGAGTAAGGGCCTACGAGGATACGGTATGTAGTGAAGGAGGGAAGGAACGACTGTTTAATAATAAGCGGAACTCTTTAATTCGTCAAGTTTTACCTTGGCGTCTATGAACTGTTTACTAATTCCAAGCTATAATGCCTTCTTATCTTCTCTCTTCCAAGATATCTCTAATCTCATCTCATTCTACGAAAGTCACAATCTTTGCTCCAATAAACCGCGCTTTCGTTAATTACAAATTTGCAGTCAAAAGTTCGGGAGAAGACCGAAATTCAGCTCGTCACTCCTTTATTCTTTCGCACATTATATCTGATGGCTACAGTGTCGCATCCGAGGATGGATCTTTTCAGACATTGAAAGAGGGAAGGGTTATACGAGTAGAACACGTGAATGGAGATATTGTCATTGATGGAAGAGCGAAAGTAGTAGGGAAAGTTGAAGGTGTGAATGGAGTGATTTATAAGATTGATAACGTATTGGTAGATTGAGTGTTCAACAATGGCAGCGTAAGAACAAATAATGAAAGTGGTGTCTCTAGGGACAGTGGCTGTTGAGTAAATAATGGGTCGAATAAGTTTTAATTGATTACCTATCGCAGCATTGTCCACAATATATAATTCTATATTCAATTACAAGCGAGTCTCAATCAGATCCTGCATATCTCTGAGTATGCGGTTTTTTGCCCTTAGTGAATTGTTTCTATTCATGAACGTCACTTGAATATCTATGTAACAAAGGTCAGGAATTTGATCCAGCGCAATTACGTCATGAATAATATAATTCATACAAGAATTCCTACAATAATAATGACCAATGACATACACCGACTATTCCTAGATTCAATAAGGCAAGTCCTCCGTTAGTTTCAACTTTAACAGGTTAAAAGGGCTAGTAGGAATATAATTTTGAGATTTAACCGCTGGCGATAGCAGGGATAATAAAGTCCGATTATTTGTGGCATGTAGCAAATGGTTATTAGTTGGCGGAATTTTAAAAATCTTAGATATTTTTGAAATGCTACTTCCGCCTGCTCTATCAATTCGGGACTGTAAAAATGCGCGAAAAATAAAATTTGGACATGAACAGTGACACAGGATTGTATTTACTATAATAAATTTATTTTATTTATTTAGGTATGTTTACAAATTTATGTTTAATCTCTTTCTTTAATTGATTTAATAATTCATTCATCGTTCAAGAGTAGTAAACTACAAAATGAGAATAAATTCTTTTAATACGATACACTCAGGTAAACGTTTGGTGAAATAGGCGATAATCCGGCGTTCTAATGTTTTAATAAAGAAATAACGATGACAATACGACGACGCACGAAGGCTTTATCTTCGCTCTGTCCAACTACATTATCTCATTTACAGTACGACAGACTTGAGTATTTTATAACTAACGGAATTATGTGACGTGGCATACATACTGTACATTAAGCAATTGACTCCAGGAAAATAATAGCTACAAGATTTATTCATAATAATTCTTTATTTCATTGTATATACATAGGTTTGATACATGATTATAGTAATAACACTACTCCCAACGTAAACTGCCGCATGGCATAAATAGTATTCCCATGCACAGGTGTTGGCGGATCCTGTTCGTGAGTTGTATCGCACTAACGACAAAGGTCTGTTGCGTCGTGTCGTATGTGCGTAATATGGTGGGGGTGGCGACAAAGGTTTGTTGTTGTCTGTTCATCTAGTAATAAATAACAAAAAAATGAGTACTGCATCATCATAATTGACCATTGAAGAACGTTCACAGCAGGCCGGCAGGCAGTCTGTCTACCGTACGCG